TTCTTTTGAAAGTTCAACAAGTTAAGAATAACTTAAATTAAAACGTTATGTGAAGTTTGAATAAATTAGATAAAATGTTATGGATAAATTGAATAAATGTGAAGTGATAAGTTGATTGTGACATTGAAATTGTATGGAATGAGCATTGAAATCATATGTTAATGTATACGTTTTAATATATATGTTAATGATAAAATCATATGTATGGATAAATTTAATTTCAATTTAAGTATTGTGAACTATAATTGGAATATAACTTTTAATTTCGAATACAATTGGAATATTAAGTTGAAATTTAATGTTAAATTTCGAATACTATAATTTATATTTTAAATTTAAATTTGAATAATATTATTTTTATTTTTATTTTAAATTTCGAATAATATAATTTGTATTTTAAAAACATTTATCAAACATTTAATGTTAAATGTGAATAAAAAATAACATTAAAAAATATGTATGTAACAACCATGAAACATTTAAATAACATAACCAAATTACATAAAATTCTGAAATTTAATTATTTAAATAACATTAAATATAACTGGATCACCGATGTCGTCTTCTCGAATGAGTTCCACATGGCGGTGGTTGCCTATTTCGTGGAGGATTTCTTCGTGGAACTTGTTCTTCAGTCTCCTCATCTTCACTATCATCATCAGCATCATTTTCTTCATTTGGTGTAGATGACGCTGAAGGGGCTGAAAGGCCTGTATAAAATAACGACCCTGGAGGAGTGCTAGTAACAATCCCACCGCTCCCCGGGAACTGTGGAAACTGTGGAAACATTGGCATCGATGTATGTGATCCAGATAAAGATTGAGGTGTCTGCGGAGAAGCACCACCAGCCAAATAAGATGCATATGAACCATATGCTGGATCATTAAACATAGTCGTATATGCACCTCCATATGGTATAAAACCCTGCGGGCTAGGCATGTAACCTGGCGGGCTAGGCATGTAACCTGGCGGGCTAGGAATGTAACCCTGCGGGCTCGGAATGTAACCCTGCGGAGATGGCATATAAACTGGTGGGCTTGGCATATGAAGTGGAGGGCTGGGCATGTACCCCTGCGGCATCGACGAATAAGGATGTTGTGGTGGGACTGATGCAGAACCGGTAGCGCCTTCTCTCCGTCCACGCGTCGGGGGACGATGATATTGAGACGGTTGACATCTTTCTCGGCGCCTAGGAATGTTAACCCCTCGTGCTTCCGCCGAAAGTAGAAACGGCTTCCCATTTTCATTAAACCAGTCCATATAGTTATCCGTAACCATATGACCAGTTTCAGCGTAATATTGTCGAGGGGCCAACAGTGTATATCAGTTCTCCCAAAGCGCAATCCAATCTCTGTGTCTCACCACCCAGTTAACATATTTCTTTCCCCGTCTATCTATGTTATGCACGTCGTCTAAATTTCTAGGAGCTCCAGGAATATATTGCGTACAACCATACTGGCGGAGCACGCGATCAACTGGATGCCACTCAATAATAGCATAACATATAAGAGGTATAACCGATATCCATACCTCTAATGACCCACTAAGGTGGGGTGGGATGCAAGCTTTCACTTCATCGCTCGCATAAGGTATCCACTGAAACTGAAATATAAATATACAATTCAAATAAATAAAATATTCTAATTATATCTAACATTTTAAATTAAAATATTAATAATTAAACAAATTTAAAAACATACCTCAGACCCAGCTTTCGTATCAATAAGTAAACGAATTTCCTCTAACCAGTAGGTATACTTTTATGGTCCTTTCTTTTCATCGACCACCTATGAAATATAATATAAACTAAATATCACCCTATTTAATTGAAAATATTTAAATCAAAATTTAGTTCGAAAATTACCTCAACAATAAGGGGAATACGTATGGTTCATTCACGATCGGGCATAAGAAAGGTATGCGAAACCACGCCCATGATTGTAGAAGCAGAAGACATCCACCGATAGCAGTTTTCTTATAATTCGTCGCCCGACACATTTCTCTAAAGAGAAATGCCAAAACTGCAGCACCCCAACTATATCTTCCAGCTTTATCAAAATCGATCAGATGCCGCAACCATATACAATGCACCTGGTTGCGAGATTTGTCGGGCATCAATATTCCTCCAATTATTCGTATAATATATGCCCGAGCACATGCTTTTGCTTGATCCTCTGAAACATTTTCATTTAAAACCTCAAAATTAGCTTTCAACCAAGATAAAGCTATTCTACCTCCATTAAACTCTGGCGGAGCAGCTCCAAGATAATCAATACACATTGATTGCCAATCACCATCCGCCATACCACACATCATATTTCCGTCGACGGGAAGCCCCAGATGCATAGAGACATCCTCCAATGTAATTGTTGCCTCTCCACATGGAAGGTGAAAAGTGTGTGTCTCGGGCCTCCACCTCTCAATCAGTGCAGAAATTAGGACAGGTTCGAGTTTGCAACCGCCTATAATTGTTGCAATATACCTGAACCCGGCAGAAGCCAAATATGGCAAAATACGTTCCGGTGTCGGTATACGTGGATTTTTAATAAAAGTTTCTAAAATACGATCAGCATCCTAAATAATATATATTATAAAAAATAAAAATTAATATAAATTCATAATAACTTTAAAATAAAAATAAATTTAAATATTAACATTAATTATAAAAAATATTACCATATCGCTAAATTGTCTGGAGATATGATTAATATCCAATCGCAACAGCATTTCGTTTTCCATTATAACTGTAGACAAAACAATATAATTAGCAAAAAAATTAATAATTCTAAATAAATAATATTATATAAATATTATTTTAATAAAAAATAATATTTACATAAATATATTAATATAAAAATAATAACTATTTAAAAAAATACTAACATAAAAATAAATTTCTTACCACTAATAACAAATTTAAAACTCAAATAGTTGGAGAATTTGAGTTATATAAGAGAGGAGAAGATGATTTTGGTGTGAAGAATGAGTGAGGGTTGAGAGGGTTTATATAGGGGAGGAGGAGGGGTAGTTAGGAAAAACGGATGGGGGCATTTATGACATTTAATGGAAGGCGCGTCCCTGGGGATGCGCTTTCCACACGTGTATGCTGATATGGCAAAGGCGCGTCCCCGGGGACGCGCCTTTCACACGTGGCATCCAACTCAGCGAAAACACGGGTAAAACGCGTCCCCGGGGACGCGCCTTTGCCAACTCAGCAGAAAGGGTGCTAGTTTTGGAAATATTGGTCAAACGGTGTTAGAAAGATAAAATTAAAAATAAACGGTGTCAGTTATGTAATTTAGCCGTAGAGATAGGCCTCGAGCGACGGTTGGAGGTTATTGAAGATGATGGACAATGAGATTGTGATGGTTCTCAAGAGTTGTTTTTCTCTGATTTTTTGTATTGCTAAATCTCCTTCTCTTCTTCTTCGTTTTTTGGACAACGATGGTCAAAATTACCATCAATGAGATGGTCAGAATGATGGTCATGATGATGGTCAAAATCTAAGTTCATTCAAGATGAATAGAGAAATAGAGAATAAAAGATGAAAAAGAAAGTAGGGGAAAATATCTTATTTATCTAAAATGTATTTTATTATGTAAAAAATTATTTAATTAGGTCAACTCATAATGTGGTTACAAAGTTAATGGTAAAGTAACCAAAAAATCAAGTATAAAATTTATTTATTAAATTAATTTTTTTTAAATATAATAATTAAAACAGGAGTGATAGAAAAGTTCAATAGTTAATTTTATAATTCACCCCTTTAATTATTAGCATTCGATAGTTGATCAATAATAATTTCCCTAATAACCCCTATGACAAAGGGTAAGATCTCTTGATTTTTATCTTCAGGAGGCGCGTCTTCACTTCCAGGCTCACCTTGTTTTTCATATTTGTCATGTTAGCTAATAAGATTGTAATATTGTTGCCCTTACTCTTATCAGTTGGGCTCTTAGAACTTGAGGCGCTCTTTTCTTTGAGTTTGCTTCTCTCGATTTTATTGTTAGTATATAAAAAAATTAACATGTGACGTCAAAAGTTGTTTAATTTTTTTAATTGAACGTTTAAATAATTTAAAGCAAACTAAATGAAAATTAATTTATTTTTCAGATTAAACATTATATTTTCTGTTATGTCATTCGAGTTTTCTGGGTTGGTCTCAATTGATTTAATGGCATTATATTTAGTCAAAAATCTTTAAAGTATTACTAGAACTGATACTTCCATTACCTTAATCCACCTTTCTGTTAGATATTTTTTGGGACAAAAGGGGTATATGGACATTGCCAAATAAGTACACATTTATATCATATTTATTTATTTATTTATTTTTATAATCTTTTAATAAATGATATCATTTAACTCGTCAGAAAATCAGTGAATATATATATAGATATATATATATATATATATATATATATATATATATATATATATCCTCAATTACAGCCTCAATAGTTTATGATATCCTCAATGATACACTTAATTCATAGTTAATGAGATGAAATTAAAACGGGGGGAAATTAATCAAATCATATACCAATGCTTAGTAAATCACACTTTAACAGAATGCTAAGTTATGGTGAACCAAAGGGGTAATTCAATTGGATATGAAGCTACATTTTGTGTGAGAAAGATGAGCTGAAGAATCAAACTTCCTGAGAACAAAGAAGTATTTTTAACCCATTTTCCATGCTTGAAAACATGAGCATTTGAGCCCCTAAATCTAGTCAATTCAACAACCCTTAGGTATACTGTAATCAACAACTTACAATACCAAAGTTTATGTTTCAAGAGGGCTAATTACTGCATTCTCCATACCTATCTCCATGAGTAAACAGCCTAGGCCCGCATCGAGTTCTCGAACCGGCCTAATGCATCATCTTTCATGTAAAGCTTCGACTTCTGCTTGCACAACTGCAATTGGTGTTCATATTTAGCTAAACTGTAGTGTTTTAACTCATTTCTGAACTCGAAAAGACTGCATTTTAGGCTACTTTAGCACCTAAATGTGTACGATTCAGCTCAACCCTAAGAATGAACTATAAGGAACAACTTACAACAACAAAGTTCACGTTTCAAGTGAGCTAACTAATGCATTCTCCATACCATGTTCTTGAGAATCTTGAAAAAAGCCGAGGCCTGCATCGAGTTCTAGTTGGCCTAATTCATCATCTTTCATATAAAGCTTCAACTTCTGCTTGCACATCAGCAACTGATTTTCCAGTAAACTCCTATCTGATTCATGTTTCATCACAATCCATTGCAGTGATTCAATGACTTGTTGATCGTGTTCGTGCTTCTGTTCCACCATTCTCTTGAACTGAGTAGCCTCCATCTCCACCAAACTTCTCTCAGTCTGAAGGCGCAGAATCATGGCCATCATCTCCTCTGCCGCGGATGAAGCCGCCAGCCGTTCCTTCTCGAGCTCTTGATAAGAGGCTTTTGTTCTTCTCCTTTCGGTTTTAACCAATTTCCTCAATGCCATTACATCAAATTCATCTTCAGGACAACATTCTTTTTCATTATCAACAGCAACCTCTTCTATAGCATATTTAGCTTCAAAATCAGTATCTTTCTTGACAAATTCTTTGCAATGATCCGTAGGTTTTTGAATATTCGGATCGAAAATCTCTTTCAACTCATTTTTCGAACTCGAATCATTCGATTTCCCTCTAGCATCACATAGAAATTGAAGTATACCCTTATTACTCAAACCAAATTGCAAAACCTTTAACCCCATACCAAACACCAAAACCAGCCCCAACACATTGAAAACATGGGAGAAACGACCAAAAACCAAAAACCCAAATCCAAAAAACTCGTTCCCAGGAAACAGAAACCTCAAGCATGAAGCACAATCCATCACAAAAGTCCCAAAAAAACCTGTAAGAACCCCTTAAGCAACTAAAGAACAGAGCAGGCAATCATCAACAAAATAAACCGACCCAGAATCTGCATGTGGGTTCAGTTACCTTCATTCCACTCTTATCAATATACCCTATCTAAACAAACTCTTGAGAGTCCCAACAAAAAAAAAACTTGCAACATAAGCAACTAAACAGGGGATTGTGATGAATTCACAATGTACAAAAGGAGTGATGAGATTTGGGTGCCACTGACCTTCTACAACGTACAAGAAGACCCATCGTTATTTGTTCAGTATAGAGTAATGGCAGTTGTTTAATAGTATCATCGACAGTGTGGATTCTGTCGGGAATTGTGAAAGGGGAAGAAGAAGCTAAGAAAACGATGGGGGCTGGGTTTTAGTAGGAAATTCACGTGGTTTTAGAGTCCGCCAAGATTTGGTGTATTAAATATCTCACGGTGAAAAATAAATCAATGAAAATTTCGTTCAACCAAACTTGTGGTTTCATCATAAAAAAGCAATTATGTTGGAACAGAAATTTCTCTTCTGTTCTACCATTAAATACGCTTTTATTCTTATCCTTACAAAATTAAAAAAATATATTAACAATAAATTGTTTTAATAACCATTTATCTTTTATGTAAGTTTGTTTTAATGGATATAATATTTTACTTCAAAGACATTTTTATTTAATGGATATAATATTTTCAGGCCGGATCCTAACACTCTATTCACTATAAATTAAGTATTCATATTTCATGTAAATAAATACTTTTTAAATTTTACATAACCAACAATATAATTAGAATAATAAATAATATATATTATTAATTACTTAGTGAAAAAATATATTATCACAATAATATTTATTACCAATTATAAAGAGATACCCAATCGAGTTTTACTTATATTGATAAGATATACTTCTTATGTTTCATTGAATTTGTCTTTTATTATTTTTCTTCGATATTTTTTTTTGTAATTTGTACGCATTACTATTTATAATTTATTATTAATAAAAATATAAAAAAATATATGTTAAAAATCTTCAATCAAGTAATTTTTAAATATATAATCTCTAAAATTTAATTATTCATATATTTATAATAATCATGATCAAAATTTAAAATTTAAAATTTTTAAAAAATAAATATGGACAAATTTACAATGAATAAATTTAATAGGATGTAGAAAGTATTATTTTAGTTTCGGTTGAAAGGTCTTAAGGTCTATGTTGGATAATTCCTTATTTCTCTCTTATAAAAAAATGTGTGTATCTTTTTCTAATTGAATTGATGTTGAATAAACTCGGAATACTAACTTAATTATGTATTTTATATAATATAAATAAATATTATTTAGTATATTAACATAAAATTTTGGGCACGAACCAAGTGACATCCATAGTAAATGAATTGTCGTTATTCGTTGAGGACTCGAGTTCAAGCACTATAGATACAGGGGTGTAAGCGTTTAATCTCGAAAGGTTGAGAGTTATCTTTGAACATATATTGCATTGTACTTACCACAACTTAATTAAAAAACATAAAGTTTTGGATAAAGTACACAAATGGTCCTCCGATTATAGGACACTACTTTGTTGGGTCCGTCAACTATTAAACGTTATGAAATGATCTTCTAACTATAAGATATTACTTTTTTGATTCCTTCTAACTATTAAAAGTTACAAAATGGTTACACAACTATTCATATGTTCCAAAATCGTTATTTTTGTAACATCCCAAAATAAGGACTAGTGATTTAAATGTAAGTTTTGGAAATTTGAAGTCTAATTTCGAAAGATTGGAAAGTTCATAGACTTAATTAGGAATACTTTTAGGATTATTTGGTAAATATGTAAGGAGGTAAGGGTAAATTGGTCTTTGTAAAGAAAGATTTTTATTATCTCTTTATAAAAGAGATAACCACGTGTAAATGGGAAAGAAAAGTCTAGAGAGATGGGGTTCAGTTTCTTCTTCTTCCCGTGTCTTCATGTGTAAGGTGAGTTGGATTTAATTTGCTTGTTTCTTCAATTTTATGGTTTCTTTTGATTCTTGAGTGATAAGAAAGAGTAAGGGGAGAATTATGGTGACTTAAAACTCAAAAATGAACAAGTTATAAAAGATTAAGTAAAAGGATATTTTAAGTGAATTATTGAAATAGAAAGAGTTAATAGATTTTGAAGTTGAATTTGACTTGTCAAGAGTCTAATTAAGAAGTTAGAAGCAATAGAATTGGAATTAAAACATGTTGCAAAGTTGGTATAATTCTTGAGTTACATATGAGGGATATAATTTTGAGGTTAAGGATGGTTTATATGGATATAAATTGATTTAAGCATGTGTATATGAGTTAAGAACATGAAAGGGGATGAAAGATGAAGCATTTGAGTTGATTTGAGTAGATTTTCTTGCACGAAATGGAATTATGGGCTAGTGTGCATCGATACACATTCAATATGTACCGATGCATCAAGGGAAAATTCCATAAATAATTCAATGTGCATCGATGCACATGAATTGCATCGATACACCCCTTAAAAATGGAAACATCGAATGCCATGAGTGTACCGATGCATAGTTAGTGCATCGATACACCCCTCTTGAAATATCGAACGTAATTAGTGCATCGATACACTACAGAGTGTACCGATGCACTTCAAAGGAAAAATAGAAGTAGATTTTTCTTATAGCTTAAGAAATCAATGATCGAATCATAGTATTTAGAATGCTAATATGTATACATGATTGTGTAGATATCGATCGAGAGCAAGTTCTGTAATGATTGTAAGGTTATAATTGATCAAGAAAAGAAATTAAGTCATAGGAGTAATTGATAGCAAGTGAGGCACAGATGAGTGCATATTAGTTAGTTTATGGTGCTAAATGGAAACAAGACTTGCGACAAGTCTATTTCCTATGTTAGAATGTATGAATATATGATTATACGTATATGAATGACATGAATTGTGTGTATGCATGATCATATATGTTAAAATGCTTTTGTATGTAATGATATGAGAAGTATGTGCTATGTGATGCATATATATGAACATTTATGAAACTAAACTATGGGACTGCATGAGAAAGATATGAGCCATATGACATGTGATATGGTATGAGATATATGGTTACACATACATGTGGTATGTGACAGAAGATAAAGAACAATGGATATGAAATGTTATAAATGATAATGCCCATGTTATGTAATATGAGAGATAGTGGTATAGTTGGCATGCCAAGAGTCGAGGGTTTATCTATGTTCTATGGAACATATGAACATAATTACCTATGTTTTTCGGGACATATGAACAACATACCTATGTTCTAAGAAACATATGGACAGTTTACCTAGGTTCTTCGGGACCTATGGACAGTTGTTGAGGTTCTTTATGACCTCTGGATAGGTTCTTCGGGACATTTATACGAGCTGTGGTGACATCATAGTGGTGTACAACCTCAATGTACTCACATACCTTAAGTTCTCACATGTGTATATGGGCTAATAAGAGATAACATTGAATATAATGTATGTGATATATATATGTGTTTTGTGATATGAATTATATGATATGATATATGTGTGTTAGTGATTATTGTATATGTTATAAGATATATGATATGAACATAATGGATCATATAAACAAGAGAATAGAAATATGAATGGTAATAATATGATAATGATAGGAAAGAAGATAATTATATGCATGTGTGGATTTGATATATGAATAGATATATGTTTGGGTATGATGTGATAGCAGTAATTGTTTATGCATTATTACAAGTTATAGTTTACATTATATGTTTATTGCCTCACTAAGTCATAGACTTAGTGTGTAAGTGATTTACACGTAGGTTTCAAGAAGAGTAAAGAGCAATGTAGAGCAAGACAAGTCAGTTCTCCTTATTGAAGGTCAGATCAGAAGAGAAGTGAATAATATGTATTTTAATATATAAAGTTCTAGTTGACATGTATTAAAAAGAATATATTGTATACGCTCTGAATAGTTCTATAAATATTTTGAATAAGTTTTATGTTATAAAAGTTTTAAATTACTCACTATTTTATACAAGTAAATATTTTGAAATGTCAATGTGACACCTCATATTCGTATTCAGGCCAGGTACGGGTTAGGGGTGTTACATTTAATGGTATCAGAGCCAGGTTTAGCTAATTCTATGCTTAAACCGAAGGTAAAAGAGTTTAAAAATGTGTACATGCCAACTCAAAGTGAAAAATTTCTGATCTGATAGTGTAAGGTGTATGTTGTCTTGTTAATAGAATAAGATTTGTCTGATATAGTAGAAATGGATTATAGAAATTGTTGAACTGAATCGATAGTTGAAAAATCTGATGGTGATAGCAATTCACTTGCCCTGGTCAGGCAGGATGAAGAACGGAAACCTCAGAAAGTGTCTTATAAGATTAAAGGTTGATTTCATAAAGTTGAAATCATATCTGAATAATGATAGAAAGTTTTCACTGTTTTGAATCGGAAAGGTGATATGGAGTCGTTTTGTTATTTAGTGGATAAGATAGAATATGGTGAACAAGTGTCACCATAAGAGCGTTAAAAGATCAAATAATAAAGTGAGAATTGGTATAAGAGTTCAAGAATAAGTGTATTAGTGACAAGCGTATAAGATGTATAAAGTTAGAGCTTATGAGTTTGAAACGAAGGGATAATATTGAGTATAAGCAAGAGTGTGTATATGATAAGGGTTTGCAGTTAAGATGGAAAGAGTTAGCGTTGACTAACCATATTATGTGATAAAAATGTACCGAAATTAATCAATTATGATGTGGATATGAATATAGTTGTGTATTCTGATCAGATAACTATGATGTAGATAAGGAGAAAAGTAATTGTATGGAGCTTTAAGGAAGGAAAATACAAGTATAAGAGATGGTAAAGATGAAGTTCTGTATAAGTAAATTGGATTATCAAAGTTACGAGGATGCAATGAAGATTAGTACACAAAGATGAGTATAAGTGATAGGACAAGAGTATGTGAACATCAAAAGAAAATATATGATTTGTGTATAGGAGATTTCGATTTTGAGTAAATAAAGGAATAATGGAATAAAGAAATGAAAAGGATTGGTTTTAAAGGATCATATACGATAAAGATTATATGGAAGTGTAAATGATAATTTTGATATAGAAGTAAGAAAAGTGTGCAAGGTGATGTGAAAAGATTCTTCAAAGTGTATGTTTAATCATATTTAAAGAATATTAAGGTTGTGTTCTTGGTCAAATGATGATGGAAAACAAGTTTGGTAATTGTTATAAGGTAATTAGAGATGGATTTATGAGGTTAAGTGATAAAAATTGATGTT